GATATATTTTTTACTGATATATCTTTTAACATGATATAAAGACATGAGAATTCCCTCTCCTGCTGCTGCTTTATTTCTTCCTCTTTAGAGATGTCCCGGGACCTCCAGGCTTTTTGTACATTCATTTAATTCCCAGGTATTGGAGGAAAGGTGAGAGGGAAGGAAAAATGAACCTCCAACATCATTTATTTCTCCTGCTCTTCAAGCCCATCCCGAATTTCCCTGCAGGAAAGGAGCCTCCCGATGCCATTTGCACTGAAATCCCTCCCGTGTGGAACAGCTTGACGAAGCCACGGAGGTTTTGTTTGTGTTTTGCCTTTCCTTTTTTTTTTTTTTTTTACCTCCCCCAAATGGCAGCTTGACAGTGGCATTTGGAATTTTCGGCAGGCTGGGAAAGAGGGGGAACATTCCCAGCTTTGCCTGCTCGCTGAACTCGCCTGCGAGGGAGCTTTTGACCTTCAGGAGAGATCCGTGTTTTGACACGAGCTGCTCCGAGAGGGATGGGCTGACGTCACTGGCTGCTTTCAGCTCCGAGCAGCTGCTCCTGTGCCTGCAAAAACCCGCCTTGTGGCTGAGCAGAAGGAGCCCCTAAATCATCCCCAGCATCCCAAACGGGATCACAGGGATCTCTTCCTGCCTCCCCCGAGGGAAACGAGTTGCGGAAAGCGAACTCGCGAAGGTCGTGTGCTGGGAGATGGGGAAGGGCTGGAGGAGGAGGAATGTGGGGCGTGACTGGGTTTGGGGGTTAGATAAGATCAAGGGATCAGACCCAGCCAGCACGGGTTTAGGAAGGGCAGGTCCTGTCTGACCAACCTGAGCTCCTTTTATGATCAGGTGACCCGCTTGGTGGATGAGGGGAAGGCTGTGGATGTGTCTGCCTGGACTTCAGCAAGGCCTTTGACACCGTCTCCCACAGCACACTCCCAAAAAAGCTGCAGCCACAGCTTGGCCAGGGGCACTCTGTGCTGGGTTAGGAACTGGCTGATGGCCAGGCCCAGAGAGTGGTGGGGAATGGAGCTACATCCAGTTGGGATCCATCACCAGGGCTGTTCCCAGGGATCAGTGTTGGGCCCAGTCCTGTTTAGTGTCTTTATTGATGATGTAGATGAGGGGATTGAGTCCACCATCAGCAAATTTGCAGATGACACCAAGCTGGGGGGGTGAGTGTCAATCAACTGGAAGGCAGGAGGGCTCTGCAGAGGGACCTGGACAGGCTGGATCCATGGGCTGATTCCAACAGGATGAGGTTCAACCAGGCCAAGGGCCGGGTCCTGCACTTTGGCCACAACAACCCCCGGCAGCTCCAGGCTGGGCCAGAGGGCTGGAGAGCAACCAGGCAGGAAGGGAGTTGGGAGTGGGGATGGACAGGAAGCTGAACAGGGGCCAGAGTGTGCCCAGGTGGCCAAGAAGGCCAATGGATCCTGACCTGGCTCAGGAACAGTGTGGCCGACAGGTCCAAGGAAGTGATTCTTGGTCTGGACTCAGCGCTGGTGAGGCCACCCCTGGAGTGCTGTGTCCAGTTCTGGGTCCTCAGCTCAGGAAGGACATTGAGGGGCTGGAGCAGGTCCAGAGGAGAGCAACGAGGCTGGGGAAGGGACTGGAGCACAAGTGCTGTGAGGAGAGGCTGAGGGAGCTGGGGCTGTTCAGCCTGGAGAAGAGGAGGCTCAGGGGAGACCTCCTCACTCTCTGCAACTCCCTGACAGGAGGGGGGAGCTGGGAGGGGTTGGTCTCTTTTCCCAGGCAACCATCAGCAAGACAAGAGGGTTTGGTCTTCAGCTGTACCAGGGGAGGTTTAGGTTGGAGATTAGGAAGAATTTCTTTCCAGAGAGGGTGCTCACACATTGGTGGAATTCCCTCATTACCCAGGGAAGTGGTGGATTCTCCATCCCTGGGGATTTTTAAGATGAGACTGGATGTGGCATCAGTGCCATGGGCTGGGAACCACGGCGGGGTTGGATCAAGGGTTGGACTTGATGATCTCGAAAGTCCCTTCCAACCCAACTGATTCTGTGATTCTATGATAGGAAATAAAATCAGGGTTGTAGCCCCCTTTAAATGGAGTTTATTGAGCTCAGGAGGTGCTTCTGCAGGTCATCCCTGCAGCTTCCTACAGGGAGCAAGTGGATTTCCACTGAAAATGGAACTGCAGGGAATCTCAACTTTCCTCTCTCTTCCTTGGTTTTATGTCCCCTTTTTTGCTCACTCTCCTCTCCTGGCCTTGTCAGTCCTCTGCTGCTTCAAGTCAGTGATCCCCAGCACAGTTCCTCCGAGTGGGAACCTCTGGGGAAGGTGGGAACTGTCAGCCCGAGGCAGATTTGTGGTGCTCAGCAGAACAGGAATGCTCCTGGGAGAAGCCAGGGGAGCGAGTTCCTGAAGGATCTCAGTGTGAGGGGACAGCTCTGCACATTCAATCAGCTGAAATCTCCTACTGAAAAGGAAGAGTTTGATTTTTTTCCTTGTCCTACTTTTCCTGTTAAACCCACTCTGTGAGTCAGGTCACCTTGTTCCCACTGGAATGTGATGGTTGGGTTGGAAATGGTTTGGGTTGGAAGGGACCTTAAAGACCACCCAGTTCCACCCCCTGCCGTGGGCAGGGACACCTTCCACTAGCCCAGCTTGCTCCAAGCCCCTTCCAACCTGGCCTTGGACACTCCCAGGGATCCAGGGGCAACC